ACACTGAGCCCTCTGTGCGTGGGCTCCCCCACTGCATCGGAGAGGCTGCCCAAACATGCCTGTCCACTCAGCAGTCTGGAGACGACTCTACGGTAACGCTAGTGTCAAAGGGCCGCTGTGTTACTTGAATGCATTTCAATCCTCTGGTGTGTACTGGGTTTAGGTATGGGCTTGGCATGGTCGTGCAGCTTTCCGTCCAGGAAGACAGAAGAAATCAGAGGGAAGAATACAGCTAGAAGTAACAGTGTGTCCCTTGTAGCCCTGGTTAGGTTTGTACTTTCACAGGTGTTAGTCTGTCATCTTTTTTAGCTTTGTAATGCTTGGGATGTCTGTGGTTACACAGTCTGCAGTCCTTCCAGGGATAACATGGGAAGAGTACCTAGCTTAAAAGAGAAAGCTGGAGATCTTGTTTGACATAACAGTAATGTATTTGAGTGGTGAGCATGGCTGTGCAGAACTGGGAGGAGTGACAGACTGAGAACATGCTCTGCCTCCTGAGAGAGCTTGAGGCTTGGATTTCTATTTGTACTCATTGACTCTGGTCTGGGGTGTTTGAGCTGGAAGAAGAATGTAGTGTTTACTCTGAGCAGGTCTGGCTGAGTTGCATACACATGAGCACATTCTCTGCTTCTGGCACGCTTTGCAGGTTTTCACTGTTACATGCCTGATTTAGTGTGGGTGCTTTTTCCCTCCCCTGATTTCTCTCAGTCTGTTTAAGAGGAGAGGTATTATGCAGCAGGAGGCCCAAGATGTGATAGCATGTACTTTTTTCTTAAGAATTCCCATCCTTGTGAAGGTTCAGAAAAGCAGTAGGAGGAGTCCTGCCTTATTGTAGTACTTCAACTTGATAGCTCTGCACAGGGGAGATTGTTAGGCAGAATTGTGTGCAATGATAGAGACAGGTTTGTAAACCTGAAATATTGAAGATTGCTCAGCTGAAGTCATTCATTCCTGGTTTTTCTGAAGAAGTCTGATCTACAGTTAGCTGCTGGCCAGTTGGGTCAAGGGTTATACTGTGAGGAAAAGGCTAAATGCAGTTTCCTCATTTGCTAGCCACACATTTCGTGTAACCTTAGCTCAGCAAGGCTAACTGTGTATTTGGTGATGACTTCTTTGCGAGCATGGTGTGCTATAGGTCACCTGAGTGATCTTTAGTTTTCGGTGAAACTTAAAAGGAAGGAAGCTTTATTTTCATTTAGGTTTCATTGAAGACTGTAAGGAAACAACATTATTATCTCAATCTGCTGGCCTTTTTTTTTTTGTAGTGTCTCAGTCTTCAATTCCTGCTTTCTGTGATGAAACTGTAACTGCTGACGCTGCTGTTTCAGTAATGTAGGTGGGGCCATCCTGGGATTTTTCTGTAGCTGTCTAGCTTGTTTCATGAGCAATTCAACAACTGTCGAACTGCAATATTTCTGGGCCATTACAAGTTGATGTTGTGAGTTAGTTTTATATTTTTGCCCTTCATTCCTTTTTTCTTATCTCTGCATCCTTATCTCCTGCCAACAGGTTTGATAGACTCCTTTAGCAGTGCTGGCCACTGGGACAGTGATGGTGAGGGAATTACTCAGCAGTTATTACTTGCTTTGTTTTTCTAAAGTAATTTTTACTCAAGTAGTGTAACTTTTAAGAGTCCCACTTCAGTTTCATGCCTACATGTTAGTTGTAAATACAACCAACATTTTCTGAGAGAAATACTATTCTAAGTCTAAAAAAATAATTTAGTACTCATTGTTAGTATCATCATTGAAGTGATGCATTTTTTTCCTAGAAAAGAAAGCTCATCTAAATGGTTTTGATGGACTGCTTCATGCATTAGCCAATACACCAACAAAGTACTACTTCCTTTACATGCAAACCCTGCTTCTAGTGTGTACTACTTGGACCTTCTTGACTTTTTTAAAATAGCGTATTCTCTGAAGTTTGATATGTAAAAACAGCAATCATATTTAGAAGTAGAAAATACATAGCATGAGAAGAGCATCACATTTGCAGGATGTAAGATAAGGTAGAAAAATAAATAATTCCTTTTTTAAAAAAAAGGTTGTTAACTTTTAAGCACACATCCCTTAAGGAAAAGCTGTTTTAACTGGTAGAATCTGTAAGCAATTGGTTCCATGTCATAACGTTGCTGTCACCTAAAAACACTTACATGTAGTTTTCTAGGCTGTATTCAAAACTGCCATTGTGCACTCTATACTGAAGAGTAATTGTGGGGAGCATACCTGAATGGAACAACAGTGTATGTGAAGCTGAGTTTCATGCTGCGACATGTTTGAAATCACTTTCTTAGCTTATATTTGTCACAATGCCTGTATTTGTCAGGTTCTGTTTCTACAAACTGTATAATTACCACAGGGAATGAGAACTAGCTGGGTGCCATGGTTGTGTTGGAAGTGTTGGATCATGACACAAAACTATTCTTTGGGTAAAACTTGATTGTTTTTTTTTTTCTTCCAAGCTACTCAGTTGCATTGCTCAGAACTCTTCTGCTTCAGGAATCAAACTGCAGATTTTTTTTGTGTGTGTCTCTTCTGTTTTTCCATCTCCTAGTCAAATAGCAGCTGTTGTTTCTGTGGACAGCACGTTAGTAGAATAAACTCAGGGGCTTTTATTCCAAACCAAGATGAAGAATCAATTGAATATTCTGCATCCTTAAAGTGTAAAGTCTTGTGATTGAAATGTAGGCTTTAGATGAACATTTTAGTTCAAGTATGTAAGTTGCACAGTTATATGCTTTTCTAGTTATTAGACTACTTAAAACAACAAGAAAAAGGAGTAGAAAGGCCTTAAATATTTTGCTTTGTAGGGAAGATTAATATGTTTTGGATGTGCCTGCTTGCAATCATAATTGGTACGTTGCATGAAAATTCAGGTGTTGGCTACAGAAATAATTTCCATGTTTTCATTATTCTACATTTCCAGAAAGCTTATGGCAGTAATTCTGTATCATACAAACTTACATCAGGGCATGAGAACTTGCCTGGGCTTTGTTTCCTCAGCAAAAGGAGGGACCATTTTGGGTTAGGAGGTAGACAGCTGCATTTCTGAGTTCAAGGTTGGACAGTCTCAGGTTTACTTCTTAATTATCTCTTTACTCTTAGTGTTTCTTGCAGAAAGTTGTCTGTTTTCTAATTTAATATGTGAGGGGAGTATAGGGAGAAGTCTCTGTTTATTTGTCCTGACTACAGAACTGTCTCAAATTGATCTGTAAGTTGAATCACTGTTTGTCTCACATAGGTTCTTAGCAAATCCCTGCAGTGGCTGAAATAGTTAAAACTCAGAAAATATGTTTAAGATAAATGTTTGAATTCTTCAGAAAGATCAGACACTGTTGTAATGTGTGAAGTAAAGGTGAAAGACCCCTGGATTTTTTTGATTTAAGAGATGCTAGTTAATAATGTAGCAGGTAGTGCGATGATAGGGGCTTTATCTGCCCCTATCAGAAAATAGCCACTTGAGCCATAGGTTAATTGCCAAGCCCTTGGACTCCCTTCTACTCTAAAATACATTCCTGGCATAGCCCTGGATACCTTTCAGAATGAGTTCCTCCTGTTGTTAGGCATAGGAGAAGGTTGGTACCTTCCTGTCCAAACTTCAGGTTATTTTCATGTTCAGATAGTCTTCTGTGGGCAATGAGGCAGTGTTTGTTTAAAGCACCAAGTTTTGCTCCGTGAGGTTACCAAATTGCATGAAAATTGCTATCAGTACTTGAGAAACTGTAAAGCTAGTGTTTCTCATATTTCCTTCTAGATTACATGTTTTCAGCTGTTTTCACTTAATACAAATACTGTAAATGTTTGTTTACCCTGGTTCCTAATAGAAGCACACTGTACTTGTTGATGTTTGGTTTTGGATAATGGAACCCAGTAATGCTTGTTTTCATTGTGCTGTCATACAGAAACCTACAAGTGGAAACAGGAAAAACACCACATCAGGGGAATTTTGTTTTTACGCTGTTACTTAGAAATGGCAAGTTTGATTAGTGTTTTTAGTGTAAGGATGTTAGCTTAACTTAGGCTTTTCTAAGTTTCAGCAGAGAAACATAGTCGATGAATACGGAGGTTAAGGGTTTCTGGCTGCCAGTACTCCTAGTCATTGTATTAATGCTAAAGATGGAAAGATATATAATATACAAGTTTAGTAGTATGATAACAGGAAAACCCTGAGTATTCAGGATTGAGAAATTCTTGCTGTTTTGGAAAGTTGTACTTGCTAAAGCCCTTAAGTACCCTCAGAAGAGGGATACTGCACACCTAATATCCAAACCTGCAACTTTAGCTGTTGATGCAAAAATTACTCGTGTTGTAAGGCAGCTCTGTGAAATTCCTGATAGATTTGGGACCTGAATTTTCAGTAAGTGATGAAGAGATTGGGAGTTCTATTTGCAAGTGGTTTGGATTTTGTTTATTTTGGAGTTTTGAGCTCAGTATTCTTGCTGTTTCTCTTGGCACCCAATATTTGCATGGAACTTTCATTTTTGTCCAGGAAAGAGAAACAGCTGGTAAAATACATGAATGAATGTAGACCCAAGATAACAGGGTCAAGGGTTATCTTAGAGTCTCTGAGGCTGTGGTTACAAATACTGTGAAAGGTGAATCCAAGAGTAGCACTACGCAGCTTTCTCCTTTATTTGTATAAAATACAGAATTATCTGAAGGAATAAAAAAATTCTTGCACTGACAGTTTCAATTCTAGGTCAGCTGACACTGGCATTAGGAATACTAGTCTGCTTTGGAGCATTTGTAGATAGTCCAGTGGTTGAAGTTGAGACCCTCATCCATGATGGGACTGTCTCTGGTTTTACTTACAGGGGTGTAAAGTAATGGTAGGAGATACTCAACTACCGTGGACAAAGGCAAAAATTCCTTAGCAAATACCCTTAACTTGCAATAATAAAAGAAGGTTTTCCTGTGCAGCCATCTCTGGAAATAGAACCTGGGATCTGTATGCTGTACAGGATCGGTTTTTGAAGTGTGTGTATATTTCTTTCCTTGCAGGGTCTCACAGATAATACAGGTTTATCTGGGAAAATGGTTGTCAATGCTGTTTCTATTGAATTGCTAGCAGAGTTTAAAGCCCAAATAGTTCCAGGTTTGTTTCTGTTAACCTGATGAGGTGATGGACTTCTGAATGCACGTTAGGGATGAAATGAAATGGTTTGGTTTGGGCTTTCTGGAATAAGCTACAGTTTAGGAGAGCATTGCCATCTTCCTAGATGATTCTGACCGAGATATGTCGAGTAGAGACAACTGTACTTAGTTTTACTGTTGTTTTAAGTTTGTCACAATCCTGCAGGTTAGATAACTGCATGTCTCTGTATCCATTTCACTGAGTGCAATGTCTCTTGTGCTTTCTTGTACAATTTAAGATGCAGATTTAGTTCTCTAACTTGACAGTGTTAATAGTAGCAGGATTTTAATCTTCCTTTTACCTGTATGTTTATTTTTTTTGTGGATTTACCTACTGATCTTTGCTCTTCCCTTCAAATTACTTGGCACCTACAGGTGGATTCTCATGCCCAGGTGTTTCTGATGAAAGTGAGCTTTACGAGTTTTTCCTATACTTGGCAGAGTTGGAAAAGGCTTGTAGTAAATATTGATTACAGGCAAATGTGAGATTTAGGATAGGTAAGATGAGGAAATGGTCTTCTGAACAGCATTCATTAGAAACTGGTGTAAACGTTCAGACACAGCAATGTCTCAGGTTTTGCCCTTCACTTCCAGTTTATACTGTGTCAGTAGGAGTGTATTTGCTTACCCACTCTACCAGGCCAGACTCATCTGATCTTGGAGAAAGTTACATGTTAGTAAATGTTCTTGCAAGTCACAGTTGTTGGGGCCTAGTACATGGCTGGAGATGCTGAAGCCCAGAGTGGTTTTAGGTAGTAGGAATCTAAGTAGTTTACAGAATCCCACCTATGTTATCGAGGAGAAGAAATCTAACAATTTTCTATTTCTTAAACTGTTTTTCCAAACTGTGCTACTCCCTGACTTGTGTTATGCCACAAACTAAAAAAATTCCCCTTAATTTGAGCCAGTGAGGAGGGTAGCAGGAAACAGCAGTCTTATGGCAATTTATAGAATGCTTTTGCTACACTGGAGCTGGTGGCTGGCTGTTAATGGCCTGCCAGGACTTGGAGCACAAAGTAGCAGTGTCTTTTCACAGTATTTCTAGCAGTGTGTTAAATAAGCAAGGCTGGAAATATATTTCTATGTAAAATATACTGTCATTGCTGGTGACGAACAGCTGGTGTGCTTCTAAGAAGTTGCTTATTTATACAGGGTGTGTAGTTATTGAATTGTCTCTCTTTGTTTACCTACAAGCTATATTTACTGACAGTTTCCCATAAACAGATTTTTGTCAAGCCTTGTGTGTTTATCTTAAAGTTCAAGTGATCTAGATAAATCAATGAGTTCCTGGATTATGCTTTTAGTGGTTCAGTTCAAACTCAGTGGATCTTGTGACTACTGAGCAAGATCTGGTTCCTCAATATTTGGGGACTTTTTCTTTCACTCTTTCAATTCCAGATGCTTTCTCTGTTATATGGGGCTTTTTGAGGGCTGGGAGAGTGAGGTATTGTGGCTTGACAGAAGTAGAAATTGGGGATTTTGCAAAGACTTGTTTGTGAGCAATATGAAACCACATAGCACTATAAAACTTCTCTGCTTTCTTCATTTGTAAGTAGCAATTTGAGATCTTGGAGACAGAGGACAGAGGAGAATTTTAGTCCAAACTATCAGTAGTTGGTGGAAAGCATTCAAAGTTCAGTTGAGACATCTTAAACTGTTGGAAGAAAAAAATGAACAAACTGCCCAACAACACAACAGTAAGAAACTAAGGGTGCCCATTATTTGAAGTTACTTTAATGTGGTGCAGGTAAAGAGGGAGGCAGGTAATCTGCTGCTTCCTTATGATGCATGTAAAAATAGTGCTGGCGGCTGTTACATCAGCTGGTTATCTTGGAACAATGCTTGCTGTAGGCCGACTTAAAAAGCAGCATTGAGTAGCTGTGTGTCTGCCCTCTTCCCTAGTAATCCACTGCTGAATGAAGTGTTTCTAACCCATCCACAGGGAATGTCTGACAGAAGTGCTGTTGCAGTCAGGCATCCTTTGTCGTGATTTGGGTGTGGTGCACGGAGCATGCAGGATACAAGCTCCAGGTTAGTGTTAATCTTCAACTTCAGAAAAATGTTTCCAGTGCAACATAGCTGTGGAGCCAGTAGCATTAAAGGCTCCAAATTCCAAGCCCCGTTGAGGAATGCAGGCAAAGGTTTTTTCCTCCTCTTTTCTTCCACCTTCCATAGTATTTATTGCGTTAACATAAACCATACCATGTGCTTTCTCATGCTGTTACTATTGCTTGAAAACAGGTCCTCATGTAACTTGTCCAAAATCAAATGCAGAAAGATCTTAAAGGGAGTAGGCTTGAGAGGGTCAGAAATGGAGGGGCTGCAAGAAAGGAAATAAACTCTGAAGCCAACTTCCTATGTTGCCTGCACAGGCACATAACATACAGCAGTGTCTGCTGTTGAACTGCAGGAAACACTTGCTGTCTGTCTTGAAGGTTCTGAAGCTCTGTGTCAAGTTGTTTGCAGGGCTGGCCTACCCGTGCTTCTAATGTGGTATTCATGTCATGTACCTTAACATGTTACAGGCTTCTGCTGCTTCCAACACTGGCTGAAATAAGTATTAGCACATCTAGTGTGTCTCTTCATGCAACTCTTATTTTAAAAAAATCTATTTGTAGCTTACCATTAGAGTAAGCAAGTGAATCACTCATTGAGAGATGCTTTAAACATGCTGCTCTAAAAGCTGTGTACAGCATGCACGGGAAGACTGTCTTCCATCTTCCTGTGAGAACACTTTTTTCCAGACTGACAAAGAAACTTGATTTCTTACCTCAATTAAATTTGGAAGAAAGTAGACTTAGTCTAATGTTGGAGTTAGGCATGGGACAAGATGCCTTTAGGCTTAGTAATAGGATACCTCTAGGTCGCTATGTTTGAATGGAGCATTAAGTGAACATCAACCATTATCCTACTTCACACCTGTTCAGTATTCTCAGTTCAAGTCCTACAAACAGATTAGTTTCTTAGGATGCAGTGTCGTGCTAACAACTACTGTTATTGCTGGTGTTCTCTGCAGTAGAAGAGAGTCAACAGACTAAAAGGTACCTTCCTGTGAAAGTTTGTAGGAGATCTTGAGTCTCAGCTATTGCTCTGAATTTGTACTGAATTCTCCTTTACATTTTGGAAGACATTATTTAAAAAATATCGTTGAACAGGTCTTACAGCTTTTTAAAGATTTTGGGGATGTTTAAGCCTCTCATGTTACACTCATGTCAAAATAGCCGATAACTGTCTTGTCAGAATCTAACACCAGGTCTAGTTACTGCATCAGAGAAGTGAATCCTGGGCCATTTGAATTTACTATGAATTGTATTTTGCGTTAGTGGATTTCAGACTGAATTGTTAGTAGTACTAGTTTAAATCTGGGCTTGTTTTTTTTAAAGGGTGCCTATAATTTTAAGAAGGGTATTTGGAGAAGTTAAGAATACTGATCCCAGAAAAGGGGCAAGGGAAGCACTTTTTTTGTAATGGTAACGTCAAGGAATTTGAGCTTGTCTTTAGAATCAGAATTTGTGGATTTGGTTTTTTTCACTTGGAGGCTGTATGTGATTGTAGTTAAACAGATAGGAATGTAGATATTAATAAGTCAGTCATGAACAAGCACCAGAAGAATCATCTGTGCAGAGCTGCTAAAAGGCAGTACGTTCTTGGCTGTGTTCTGCTCTAGCAGAAAGAGTAACTCCACTGTCAGTGTAAGTCATGCACTGCTTGCCTTGGCTTGCTCCCATAAATGAGTGGCAGACTGAAGCAAAATTGGCAAGTCTTCACATGGTTAGCCACTTAAAGCTCTTTTGTCTTCCCAGGTTCTACTCTACAGTATCTAGTCTGTCTTGCTGTAATGGGCAGAACTCAGGAAACACTTGGAGAATCATTGCTTTTGTGCTACAATGCCCAAAATACAAATGGAATTTTGAAGATGTCTAAGTATTTTAATTTTTCTAAATTGCCACACCACAGTTTTTACATAGTCCTCTGTGCATACTGCATAAATCTTTCCAACCCTTAAGGATTTTTGGCACCTTGTTTGTAGTCAGGAGCACACTAGACATTCAAAAAAGTTAAATTTTACCGTAGGAAGTTAAACATTTCAGATACTGAGCTACTTTCCAGAACTAATTTGAACAGCATGTGCTGAAGACTGTGCACCTGCGCTACTTTGGGAAACTTTGTTTTTGTCTGTTGAAATTTTCACTCCAAGTTGTGGGTTGAACAAACTGACTTAACAGTTTGCCTTCAATGGCAAATAACTGCAGCAGTCACACATGTTCCGGTTGTTTCTTCACCTTTTGCAGTTTGACTGTGAGTATTATGGTAATTAAGTGTGAATGTATCCTTCAGTTTCTTTGCAGTTAAGAATGCGATGATCCTGTTTCTTTTTGCAGATGTGGAGGTACTGTTGGTGCAATTCTGACATGTCCACTGGAAGTTGTGAAAACACGTTTGCAGTCCTCCTCTGTGACTCTCTACATCTCTGAAGTCCATCTCAACACTGTGAATGGTGCTAGTGTCAATCGAGTGACTAGAGTGTCTCCTGGACCTCTCCACTGTTTGAAGTGAGTGTACATGTTAAATGGTTTTTGGCTCCTTTTGGGGAGGGAGGAGGAGAGGGGTGTGTTGGACAAATCCTCATGAAAGATTCAGACTACGTCTGTCATGATACGACAATGAGATGACTTTCTGTATTTTGGCTTTTAACTGTAAGTTTTGTGTTCCACTCTTATGAATGTCCTTCATGCTTGAGTTTGTACATTGAATTAGAGTATATATAACCAGTACAATTCACAGCTCCAAAGTAGGTCCCCAAAACTCCCTGGAAACACTGTAGTGCTTAAGTGCCAGGCTATTTTCTTCCTGAAAAAGCATTAGTATAAGACTTTTTAAACTGTTTTGTGTCCAAATCATAGACGTTGCTGAATATGGAGCCGAGCAGCCCTATGGAAAATTAACTTAGTCTCTCTGTCTCTTAGAGACTCTTCTTTCACCACGCCATACAATTCCTGCCTTTTGGTATCTTCTGGTAGATGTGTAACTAGTAACACTTTTAGAGCCAGTAAGAGATAGGTACAGCCAGATCTTGCTGTGATCTGGGATGTTTTGTTTGCATAGCACCTCACTTGAACAGGGACTGCCTTTCCTCTCCTTGCCACCAATGCTTGTGATGTTCAGTAGCCAGCAGGAAAGTTCTATGGCCACAGTTAAACAGGCCACAGGCAGGGTTTGCTTCACTCTGGGGGACTCAAGCTAGCCAGTTATGGTGAGGTACCTTCAGTATTTGGGAATGAGGGGTTTTTTCCTACAGAAAGGACCTGCTACTGCTTCTTGTATTAGAGTTTGATAAGGCTCAGACCAGCTATCTTCTATCCCCAAATAATCAGTGACACGTAGTTTGTAGGAAGCCCCTTCTGGCAGTTGCAGTGTAGGATTTAGGCTTAGTCTGGTTAGAGGATAGGATCTGCTTAAATGGAGGTTGTGCCCAAATAGCCCCTTGGATGGAAGATAGTTCTTATTGTGGAAGTTTTGATTCAGAGCCTTTTTACATATGAGTCTGAGTGAACACATTGGGAGCAGGTATGTGGGAAGGAAAGGCTCAGATTGTGACAAGAGCTCCATCCAAAATACTTGCCTTGTTGACTTCTCTTGATGGAAGTTGAGCCCTTCAGCTTCTTCCATGAATGTTTGGTTATGAATTTATCTTCTGTTTAGAAACATATCTGAATGAATAGCCACTCTGTTAGAAGCCTGCTATGCTTTAACCTACCCCTAAAATGTAAAATAACTTGGTCTTCCCAGGAAGCAAATTCAGACTGAGGTAGAAGTAGTCCATGATGAACTTCATTGGTAGGGCTTGTTTGTTTTGTTTTGGTTTTCTTAAATCTGCTTCTTAGGCATGTTATTTGTTTGTCTGCGATACAAGAATGTGTATCTTCTGCTGCTCTTGCTCTTTCTTAGATATGTTTTCTTCCAGGTCAGTATCAAACTGCAATGCTAAGTAATTTTTCTGGATTTCGAGTTCTTTAAATACAATGAATAGGAAAATCCCAAATGACATGGCAATGGACTGTGACAATAAAAATACATAGGTGCAGGACATAATTATTCTTGGTTAAGGGACATGGGCTGTTTGGTGGATCCCTCTGTCACTCATGCCTGTACTGTCACTTCATATTTCCTGACTCATAGGTTGTCAGGGTTTGGTTGTCTCGTCTCATATCAAATTCAGCGCAGTGCTCAAAGGCTCACAATACTCATTCTAAAGCAGGGTGAATCAGACAAATGATGTCAGCATTTCAGTTAAATGACTGCTGTGGAATCACTTCTGCATCTTAAGTGTCAACAGAGGTGACTTCAAAGGCATCTCGTCAGGAAACAAACTTGGTAAAGGTGACTGCGTTCTCTGGCAACAAAAGCAAATTCCCTTCTTAAATATCTGTGGTGTATATCATATCCCAAGCTCTGGGATCTGCTCTTTAATGCAAAAACTTTGTGTCTTATTTGCAGTGTAGGCTCTGGAACTCCTTCAGCTGGTGTCGGTGAATCCGGAAGAGCTTCATTAACTACTGCCATTACAATCATGTCTGCTGAAACCTCTCTTTAACTCTGTTGCTCTGTCAAGTCTTGGGACACTGTAGATCCAGAAGAAACAAATAGGCCTGGTACACTTCACTTCTGTTTCTCTTAAGACAGTTAGGTTCTTGCTGCTTTGTATACATGCATATATTATATGTGCATATACATATACATAATGCATTCTGTTGTGATGGTAGTGATTTTTAAGAGGACACAGATCATGTTAATTGGGTTCAGCTTTGCTGTAATCTGATGCTGTGCCCATGCTGAGCTTTGGAATATGGTAAGATTTTTTTAATAATTCCTGTCATAAGTGTTATAAATGCTTTCAGGATGGTAGACACATCTAAGTAATTTGTATTCCCAAAGTGCTTTTGAGTATGTGTTCAGTACTCCAATTATTGCTGTGGAGCAGTGCTACCCACATAGTGAAATCATATCTAATTTATGGACACAAAGCTAAGATGTTGCTGGACATATTATATGCCACCATTCCTAAATAGTGATGGTAACTGTGCAGAACCACAGTTTTATTTTTGCTTACTGAAAACAAATGTAAACTTAGTTTGATTTAGCAGCAGAATTGTATTGAATCAGCTGCTGGAAATCAGAATAGGTTTGGAATCTCTTTCAGTGCTATTGATGGCTTTTACCTGTTTGTTCTGATATTAAATTCCAGACAAAATTGCCATTTATACAAGGGTAGTTTGCTTTGAGTAGTTGACTTGTCATTAACCTGTGTTTCTCTTTGAAGAAGAAATATACAGGAGAGCTATTTGTGTATTGGCCAGTGTTTCTAAATCAATAAGCACAGAGTTCTGTTTTGCAACAATTGGTTAAGTAGTTAATTTTTAACTTTAAATCTGGTTCTAAAGCATTTGCTAGAGCAATTTGCAGTGATGGGATGCAGGTAGTTGTTTCTCCTCCCATGTCCTACCATACTCTTTAAAATACAGTATCTGATTAGCATCTAGATTGTTGGACAGATTGGTTTCACTAAAACTGTATATTAATGGATATCCTTCACTGTGTCAGTGTGCTTTGCATAATGGTTTTCAACTCTTTCTAAAAACCAGTTACATGGGATAGATTTTCCAAACACTTAAGTACTAGTAGTGTCTCATTTATGGTCTCAATTCACAGCTCATATCCCTTTGTTTCTCTGTGAATCCCACAAAAATGGAAGGTGACACCCCCTGGCACCCAAGCAGCCTTTCCAGAGCTGTGTTTATAGTGGATCTGGTACCATGAGATGTTAGGGCTGTACTGTGGCTGTGACTCTTGCATGAGTTACGTTCCTTTTTCACATAGTCTCAAACTTGAGTTACCTTGCATGAGGAGGTAAGTGTCTTTTCTGGAATGAGTCAAAAAGGAAAAACCCCTGGCTCCACAGCCCAGCAGCAGTGCTTGGGTAGGAGCACACAGGCAGCAGTTCAGAACTGACAGGAGGCAATGCCTGCCAGCCTCAACGAAGGGCCACTTCTCACATTAGGCGTTTCCATTTCCTTATGTATCATTCCCACTGGGTCTTACAGAAAGAATAAAGCTAATAACAAGTTCGTAGATGGGCATGGGGAAGGCAGGACTTTGTCTCGGAAGGGTGACTTTCCTCTAACTTCTGATGTGTAACTCAGTGTACTGTTAGGAGTCTTGTAGAATGAAACGACAGTAGCACATGCAAAGCCATATTGAGGTTTCTGTCTTTTTTAGTAGATTGGAGGTTGCAAAAGATGTCCCTAGGTGGGCGTGGAAAGCAGTAGAGCTAACATCTTCCTGAGCTGCTCTCAGAAGGCGTAGGACACACTGTAACTGAACCTTCATAGGTCTTTCCCCTCTTCTCTTCTCTTGCCCTTCACCCCCTGTCCCTCCCACCCAGAAAAGTTCCCAGGCCTTAGGAGGTAAAGGGTGATGAAAGGGATGTAGAATACAAACAAGTATTTCTGTCTCCTGAGCAATCTACAACCTACAGGAATGTAAGATTCCATGCTTAGTATTTTCTCCCTGATAGAGGGATGCTTCCTTTAACTTCCTAATGACAGATAACTCCATGTAAGCATGTGTTCCTATCTTTGAGGTAAGTCTGTATTGACGTCATAAGGCTTTACTTCTGCATTTAGTTCCTGAATTTCTATGGTATGTCAAGCAATAATAGAATTTTATTTCATGCTGATTCTAGGAAATGACTAATTTTTTGTGGTGAGCATTGTATTTTCAGTTATTACGAAAGTTTTAGACAGACTAAAGCTTAAAATTATGTAGTTATGGTGGTCAGTGCATTCCCTAATTTTGATGTGTATGTTAAAATATTGTCGCTTTTGTTTTCTAGGATGATCTTGCAAAAGGAAGGTCCTCGTTCTCTGTTTAGAGGGCTGGGTCCTAATTTAGTAGGTGTTGCTCCTTCCAGGTAAATACAAAAGGGTACAGTACATGAAACAGTTTTGATGACATTTAGGTTGCTGTACATTATTTAAGGGATTTAAGGTTCACTTGAAGTGGGTTTTGCATCTGCAGTTGTAAATAATAGCAAGTAACTTTTGGTTCCTGGGGTAATTTTGTTGTCTGAGAAATTGAGCCACTTGTGTACTCTGCAGCTCCAGTACCACATCCCTGCACCAACTGTCTCAGCATTTGTTATCCTATATGCTACTATAATAGTATTTGCTATTCTGTACTATCCCTTATGTGGAGTTTTGTCCAGTTAAGAAGGAAAATGTTTAAGGAGTTGCACATATAAACAAGAAGTCTGTACCTTTGAAAATACAAAGGTAGCTTTAACTTTCAATTAATCCATCATCTTCAGGAAGCAGTTACAGAATCACAGAATGGTAGGGGTTGGAAGGGACCTCTGGAGATCATCCAGTCCAACTCCCTGATGAAACAGGTTCACCTTGAGCAGGTTGCACAGGACAGCATCCATTTGAATATCTCCAGGGAAGGAGACTTCACAACCTCTCTGGGCAGCCTGTTCCAGTGCTCTGTCACCCTCAGAGTGAATAAGTTCCTCCTTATGTTCAAGTGGAACTTCCTGTGCTCCAGCTTGTGCCTGTTGCCCCTTGTCCTGTTGGTGGGCACCACTGAGAAGAGCCTGGCCCCATTGTCTTGACACCTGCCCTTTAGATATTTATAAGCATTGATAAGGTCCCCTCTCAGTCTTCTCCAGGCTCAAGAGCCTTTCCTCATGAGATGCTCCAGTCTCCTAATTGTCTTCATAGCCCAAATTGTGTGACTAGTAGCCTCAAAACATTGGGTCTTTCATCCTGAATTCTGGTGAAGCACAGACTGCTGTTCCCCTGCAGTGGGAAGCCTGTTCTGAAAGTTCAAAAAGGGCAAGGCTGGGTAGGATGACACACTTAACAGCTGTCCTGGAGACAGCAGACCCAGGACTCCAAAGGGTACTGGGCAGTGTCAGAGTGCAGCAGATAAAGGTGTGAATCTGATCTAATAGGCAGTGGTATTGCTGTTGTGCTGATGCAGAGCAACTGCAAATACTTCAGTTACTTGGCTGGTGCTGGCAGTCAGAGCAAGGTGCAGATTATGCCAGAGTTTGAACCGATCTTACATACAAGCGTCAGCCTAAGTTTGGAAAAATAGGAGCCAAAAATAGGAGAATACCAAAGGAAGAGTGTGGAAACAAAGCTCTGTAAAACTAACATAACTACTTAATCCTGGATGAGGTGATAGTTATTTTCTGGCCCATTTTTATTCCCTTCTGTTTGAGAGAAGAGTCTTTATGCAGAGGGAGTATATTCCACAAAGGTTTTATTCTTCCCTTGACTTAGTGCCCTGCTTTTGTTTGTTTTGGTTTTTTTTGATCTGAAGAGAAGACATTCCTGTCTCTTGCACACGCAATTGGAGAGTATCTTAACTTTTCTGGTTTGAGGTCTTTGGATGCTTCTGGAAAATTTTAAGCTGGACTTTCCATTCAGCATTGATCTGTCTTCTACTTGGATCTGACAGGTGTTGTTTGTGCAGAGGATCTACAAAAGACAAAAACATAATTCAAGAATTGAAGTACTTCTTTGGCAGATTTTTTTAAAGGCATTAGGGAATGCCTGAGGTATTTCTGATCACTCACTTAGCATTGCTGTTTGGAGAAGCTGAAGTAGTGCCAGTAGCTTTCTTTGTTCTTGACACCTGTGAGATATCAGCACTTCGTAATCTGAAGAGCCTGTACTTCTCTTTGATAGTCCAGTCTGGTCTGAATACACAATGTTGATATTACACTTTTAACAACAATTTTTACACAGCAATGGATTCTATTTTATAAATGACTATCCTCAATGAGAAATATCCCCAATTGCAAAACCCCCTCTTTCTTTTCAGTAAACTTTGTTAAATCTTCTGATTCCCTTTCCTTTTCCCAGGTGAAATACTTAGCTCGTTTCCACCCCCCACTAAAAATGTCAATGGCGTAATGTGTGAAGTCTTATAAATGAGCACATCTTCATTCCCCTCCAGCTGACTCAGTCTTCATCCAGTACTTCATTTCAATTAAGCATTAGCTAAGTGGCTTTAACAGCAGCCCTTTGTTTAAATAAGCTGTAGACATGCACGTTTCATAATATGTCCAGTATACTTAACTGAGTTCAGATTCCATTTAAAAATTACACCCATGAAGGAAGAACTTTATCTTTTTTCATAATAAAGAAAAACATGTTTGCACAGCTAGGAAGTTAATGTTCTGTTCATGAAAACTTTCATGTTCATTTTTTCTCTTGTAGAGGGGTGTCTTAAGTTTAAAAACCCCTGAGTTATAGTCTTAAATGTGAGGTTTAGATGTGCTCAAAATAAGTTTTTTAGCTATAATGAGTGAAAAGCATTTTTCATAATATATTGCATTGACATGCTGACTTTTATGTCCAGCTTTGTTTTGATACCAGTTTAGACTTCTATGCAGTACAAATTTACAATTTTCTGTTATGGTGTATTCAGAGAAAAAAATGTGTCTATTCTAAATATAGAACTAAAGAAACAAAATGCAGATTCCAGTGTTCTAGTATTTAAAATATAAACACTTATAACTACAGCTTCTAAAGTATAACTACAAGTTATCAATATTTGTCCTAAATGCTAGAATAATATTACAAATATTAAGTGTGCTGTTCAGATTAAAAAGCTACATACTGCTAGTTCTCTTGAAATTGTAATGCTGTTGAAATGCATTTAGGTCCATTAGAACAAATTCAATCTGTTAGTAAAGAAATACAGAATACTGTAACTTAAATTCTCAGTTCAGCAGTGTTTAGCTTCCCTGGCTAAACTTCAGAATGTCACAGAAATCACTGCCATATTTGTAATTATCTGTCCCTCCCCCCCCACTAATTGTTCATTGGAGCTGTTGTGGAAGACAAAAGTTGTAAAGTATGATTCTTTTTTCTTTTATTTCCATTTCTAGAATAGTCCCACTACTTTGCAGGAGTTACTATTTGAGTAATTTTTTACTGAGAAAGTGAACATTGCGCTGAGATTATCTTGAGTTAGTGAGGTTAATAGCACTACTTGGGCTTGTAAAATGTAACATAACTTGGATTTTGTTCTAATTTTAGAGCGATATATTTTGCTGCTTACTCAAACTGCAAGGAAAAGTTGAACAATATTTTCAATCCAGATTCCACCCAGGTACACATGATTTCAGCTGGTGTGGCAGGTAAGGATCTATAACTTTTTAGTTTCATTCTAGAGTCGTAATTACAAATGAGAGGTGGCAATAAATGTGGAACAAAACAAACCAGAAAATGTTCAGTGATTGAATGATCTCTTTCTTTAGTGGTTATCTTCTCTAGCCTCTCAAACAAGCAATCTGGAGAATGTGTATGAAACTTTGCACTTAGTGTTAATGTAGGGTCTTTAACTGCGCGTGTGTGTGAATAGTATTTCCTAGGAAAACTTGCATGCCTGCTTCTTCAGTTGTAGATCTGTGAAATGTAAAAAGAAAACTTCAAAAACAGTAACTTTTTGCTCTACAAGTTAAGAGCATTATTTGCACTGAACTCTGGTTTAATGCTTCTTAATCCGTTTGTGGTTTTTTACCATCACTTTCTGTTACAGCTTTGTATATCTGACTTCGGTTTGTTTTTCTGAAATACAGATATTTGTATAAATTACATGTAACACACTGTCCTCCTTTGTTCAAATACTAGTCTGTGAAGTCTGCTCTACCACTAAAGTGATGCAGAAGAGCAGATTTCTGTAGCTTTCATATATTTTCATCTCTGGAAACAAATCCCTGTTTTTATATCTGTGGTGTAACTTCATTACGTTTTAGCAGCTACCGGCATTTGTTGCCTGGTTTGTGTGTTCTGTGCTTTTGGATCATTAACAAGGAGAGTTAAAGGCAACTGAGCTGAGTTATGATCTTGGAATTGTGCTAGGGAAATCAAAACTTAGGCTGGCAGCGCTTTACCTATTGTTGCCTGTGTCTTTTTTGTACACAAAAACAAATTTTCAAAAGTGTTTTTCTGTATAGGCCATAGATGCTTCACAGATGAACTCTGACAATTTTATGGTAGCCTGTTGAAGTTTCTAATTCCTGTCAAATTTTACCACCAGTGTACAATGTGAGTACTAGCAATCTGGAATGTACTGACAAAGGTGATGTCAGAATAACGAGTAGGATTGGTTTCCTATTTAATAGTTGCTAATAATCTGATACAGGGAAATTGTTATGTAGCATAGAAAATTTAACTGACATTAGCTTTATAATTAACACACTAATGCTCATCTGTAGCACATGAGAATCTTAGAGATGTAAGGAGAGCCCTTTGGTCTTAAATGGGTAAAATAAGGTGCTTGGGTGATGCAGTTTTTTTGTCACCTGGAAATGTGTGTTTTGTTTGTAGGTAAACAGCATGGGGAATGGGATGGATGGGGATTTCATGAAAAGTTCATACTAACGAGTTAGTTGTTCCAAGAAAGATGAATTATCTTCAGCTCTTTGTCAAAGGGATAAAACATATCTTTACATTTGAGGTAGCAGAAACAAGTCTATCCTCCATTGAAGACAACTTGTGTAACTCATGCAGTGCTGCAGACAAACAAATGTTCAGTGTTCCTAATCTTTGGAAGTTACTGTCCTTATTCTGTAATGAAGAGAACATTTGTGGAAATGTGCTGTAGTGACCTTTCCCAAGTGCTTGCAGATACATACCATAGTTTGTCAAGAAGTTCTGTACGTGATAATTAACTTGCTTTCCTTCCAGAAGGTTGATATTACGCATTTGTACTTAAGACTGCTGGAGACTGGGGTAAATGTATTTGAGCCTTCATTGCTGTTCACCTTTTCTACATTTGTATATAAGTTTTAATATTGAACAACTTTTGTGGCTTTTACCTTTCTCTCACTTAGCTAGTTCTGCAGTTGTATTTCTAAACCATATAGCAAATGAAACTGAATGCCCAGTGCAGGTTCACACTACAGGTCACAACTTACTTTCTCTCTCAAAATGTCTTGGCACTGTATGCTACAGACATTCTCTGGAAGACCTTTAAAAGAAGGTTCTTTGACAAACAGTTTCTTGATATTCAGTACTGATGATATTCTGGTTTATATGAAAAGGACTGTACTTAAAATTAACAGTGCTTTCTTGGGAACGTGCTAACCTTGTTTCTGTAATTCTAATATATTTCAGAAAATGCACTTAAACCAGCTATTAACAGTTTTACCTGAAAGGTTTGTATTGCTATATGATGCAAATCACCTTAAGGAAATCACAAAAAACAGGGACAAGACCCAATGTGAGCTCTTAATTGGTTGGCTTAAACAGGTTAACACAGAAGATCACCATAACATTTGCTTTGGAACTTAAGACTTCAAAATTGGCAAGGTGGATAAACACTTCTAATTAGCAAAAAGTAATCAGTATTGGTTTTTTCTTTTGCAGCTGCCATTGGTTTCAGTAAGGAATTGAGTAACTCAGTCTTAAATGAGGGGGTTTTGTTTGATTATGACTTTTGTTATATAAAGGTTTCTGATACCTAATGAATGTGAGGTGGTGTTTGCACTTACAAAGCTTTTCCTGTAGGTTGCAAATTACAAAAATGACGAAAAAAATACAACAAAATTAACTTACTATTTTGCAAAAGTGATGTAAGTAGTGAGCTTTAGTCAACTTTAAATACTGGTTACTTGTATCGTATATTAATATGTAAGTACCTCAGGCTAGACTGATGTCATTGTTAAATAAGGATTATTTTATGCATATGTAACTTTTGGGAGTTAAAACCTGGGGTATGGTATTGTAAGCATTTTTGTTTGGGTTTTGGTGTGATTCTTCCTTCTTAAGATAAAACATATCTTTTTGGTTTTAAGATTCTTTTACTAAGTTTGTTTTATCCCGAGGAGGACGAATTATGCTACCTATCAGTATCTGATGCCTTATGCAATTAGAAATTAATATTTTTCTCTTGCTGTGTGCTAGCTTCCAGCATATAATTCAGATCACCTTCACACCTAAAATATCTGTGTATTGACATGAAGTACTCAGCAATCATTTTACTTACTACTTGGCATATCCAATGGTTCTTTTGTTGCAAACTTCAACAGTGGCTATATCTGAAGCATACTACAAGAATGAGAGTGTGTGCTTGTGTGAAGATAGTTTATGTCTGTACATTTCAAAGTTAGGCTAAATTCTCAGATTCACTCTGCCTTTTCATTGTACTTACTCGACCTCTTTGGCCACAGAGAGCAAAAGCTGTAGAGAACTGAATGAGGTACTTGATTCCTGTATGGCTTTCCGATTTGACTTTTTAATGATTCATAGCCTCATTCAGACAACATGGTTGCAAATCTGCTGCGAAACTACTTTGCCTTGTGTGCTATTGCTTTCCCAACCCAAATGTAGATATTTTTTATTATTTTTTTCATTTAAAAAATTTGGACCATTTTAATACTTGCAGAGATACCATACTTCTGTAACTCTTTAGTAGTACATACACAGTTACTTAATACCAAATAAAACGCATATTTAGTTCATTGATTACTGATTTTAGAAAGTTTGATTTCATAAGGCATCTATCTTGCTTTTTCAGTGCTAAGTCAAAGCTAGCTTTTTTGAATGGTATTTGGGAGGGAGTGGGGAAGGAGGAGGGTTCACTTTAAATTTGATATATAGGTAAGTATTTGGAGATAGAAAATTGAACTGCTGCAAATGAGCAGAAATTTCAGTACTCAGTGCATTTTACACAACTATTAATATTTGTGGCCTGTTCTGATTATTTTTCTTTCTTTTTTCCTAAACTTTTACCTGAAAACAGTTAGATCTCACAATAACTAATTCACAAATCCTTCCAATGGGATTTGATTTGTACACATGTGTCTGATGAGGTCACTGCTTGTTGTTATGATACAGAAAAGCCTGTGTCTATTTTAGGCATTTACTGTACATTTCTCCCGTGAAAAGAGTGAGATCGTGTCATCTCATGCTCCCCATCCGCAGGTCACTTCCTGCAGAAATATGGACTAACTTAAACCTCGTGAGTACTGAACTGAGCGTCTCTTGCAGCCTCTAGTGTAAGAACCACACATTGGGTTTGTAATATCTATTAAATAAACAAAATAGGGGGAATTCACTTTTATCTTGAACTCAGATGATGTGCATTGTGCAAAGACATCGCTTCTCCTTAACTCTTAACAGAGTTATTTTTTTCTGTGTAGTTCAGGAAAAGGTGGAAAATACCTTTCACTCGTAGCTGCTACTTTACTTGGCTCTGGCTAATTAAAAGTCCCTACTGGGTTAAACCAAGGCCTTGAGGGGTATTTTTGTCCCAGAGCTGCCTTTAAAATGCTGCAGCTGATACTCTGTTGTCACATTATTTCAAAGACCTTTCTTCTTTTTCATTTTTGATATGTATATAATCTCCTTTCTGTCTGTCTGTTTTCTCTTTTGGTTTGTTTTTATTTTACTACTTTGGATTTTTAATTCAGCATTCCATATTCACATGCATCTGTATCAATTACATTGGCTTATAGATTAAAAAAAACACCCCTAACCTTTTGAAATAAATAGGAATACCTGGGATCTTAGCTGTCAGTAGCTGATATAGCTGAAAAAGTAGATTGAGATAATTCTTTCCATCTGAAACTGGGATACAATTTCGTAGAAGAAAGTAAAGCATAGAAAAGTACAGGAGTTTCTGGTATTGCCAAATTGATCTGCACTTATAATGCATTTGGAATCTTTCTTGAGGATACAACACATTGACAAGCATTGTAAAGTGTTAAAGTTCACTGAGACTTATAAAAAGAAAAAAAAAAAAGAAAAGGGAAACAATTGATAGTTGTTGAAAGCCCCCCACCTTTATTTCTTAACAAATACTTTTGCTAGAGATTTTCTGTATTTAAAAAGAAAAGCTTATCTTATCAAAGTCCCAAATGGTATGTTTCATGTTTTGGAGTGCTTTCCTTGGTGTCAGCATCACTCAACTCTTAATCTTAACTTCACCAATTCTTCTTCCACTAACTGTATTTTCTATATTACCTGTAAGAATGGAGCTGTAGTCTTGAAAACCCAAATTATTGAAGGCTCTTTGATTTGAAAGCCTTGGTTTGAACTGCTGTGCAATTTAGGCTTATCACAGCCCTAGGGGGAAAAAATGGGCTGTGTGGCTAAGTGTCTGCTCCTACTGGTAGGGTCATTATTCCAAAATAATGTTTAGAGCAACCCAGGGAGTACAAGTTCAGACAGAATAGGCTGCATCCTGTGCCAGCCACCCTTTGCTGGCAATTTCCAATATATTCTTCCCAGCCTGCCTAGAAGTATCAGGCTGCTGCTGCGGGTGAATGCAGTCACTACTGCCACTCAGACGCTGCTTCTGATCTCACCTATGTGTTTTCTGTTCCAGATTTAGGATCTAGGGACCATCTTGGGGGGTTGAATAAGAAGGAGAAAGGGCTGAGGAGATAATGCTGTAATGTACTGTCTAGTAGTAACAAAATTCCAAAGGATGCAACTTGAATAGGAATGCAAGAGACTTTTTGGTCTTGTTCACTTGTAATTAAGACCTAGGAGAGACCTAAGAACTAATTTTGATTTTTAGAGAGAAATCTTTCCTGGAAAATGTGTTGGTAGGGGAGTTAATTTTTCTGCACCTTATTTCAAATCCTTTGTTGCAGTCCTGTGCATTCCTAGTGCCCTTCACTGCACTGTAGATATGGAAAGATTCTGATTTGAAGAAAATTAAAGCTTTCTTGCTAGTCTAAAGAAATAAAAAATATAATAATATTTCCTTTCAGTTTAGTACAACCCAGGGTCAAGTGTTGTTGGAATCAGTGGAGTTTCTGTGGCATTAAGTGACAGGTCAGAAGGGCTCTGGCTAGTTTAACTACAGAAACTTTTTTGAAGGTGCAATATGTTTTAAAAGCATTCTGTGCCTTATTATGGCAGAGTAGTTCCCTGATGCTTTGAGTTTTTACGTAATTATTTACCTACATGAAATGCAGATATAAAACACTTCTGGCTTGTTAGGATTTTACTCTGTCATATGCACAGCTATATATGTACCTAGACTTGGAAAAAGAGTAGTATCAAAAAAAAAGCCACCCCCAAACCTTTATCTACCACAGGAAGTTATTAAAGAGGTTTGAGTCAGTTTAAAAATCTATTTAATCCAGAGATTAAACTGAAATCTCTATCATGGTTTTGCTAATTTGGCACAGAAACATCACTAAATCTTAGTAGCTGCTAAACCTTGTAGTTTATCTTTAGAACTTTTAACTGAAAATCATAATGACCTGTTTAAGATTTGAGGGTGGGTATAGAACAAACCTTAAAACAGTTATGATCCCCTGGAATTTCTCAGTGTTGCAGGCATTTGTGTGCAATGTAAACCGAGATTGTGATTGAACAGAAGTAATACGTATGCAAGCAGTTCTGCTAAATATATATGTGAGCTGTTACTGATCTCCATAAACAAGCTTATCAATAGCCTGTTTGTTGTATAAATATCATGCACTAGATAGGCACTGAACAAGGTAACTCTTTGTTGCTTTCACACAACCTCAGTCCATTCCCTTGCAGGAGGGCAGCATGTCTTGTAGTGATAGACAAGTGATGTGTCACTTAGAAAGCAAGTGTCTAAATTTATCATCTCTTGCCTGGCCATGTTCCAGCTCTACCCTCTCCCTCTTCTCTCCTGCAGACATGACACCTCATTAATGGTGCATGTGTGGTATTACAACTCTAGGTGGGTTTTTTGCTTTTTTTTTTTCAGAGCTGCTTTTCACTGCTTTTTTTCTCTCCACGGTTGTGCAGAAGTAAGAGTGATTCTTACTACTTTTCTTTTTTTTTCCAAACTTGTTTCCTTTTCTCTTTTTCTTTTTCTTTAGTGGACTGAAAATCAAAGCTTTAACCCTTAGCCCTTATACAAGCCTGAATAGTTGCTGTCTGTCTGGATAGTTAGAAGTCATACTACTTTAACAATTTAAACACTCATATGTTTGTAAAAGTATTCCTAGGCCAACCAACAATCTGTACTTTGAATACTAAATAAAACATTAGCACTCAAATTTAACTCCTCTTTATAATTTAGTATTAAAAGGTCTCTTAACTTAGAGTAATACATGCCTTGTAACTGCACCAAAAGTAGTATTTATTCAGTCTGCATGCTTTTAAACTCGGATTGTATTTCAGCTAGCAAATTAAATTGACACAATGTTTTATACAATCTCAAATTGCTATAGCTGTATCTGCAATGCATTCTTATTGATGTGTTTGCCAAATTGGCTAATATTAGTCTAGCTAGCTTTGTTCTATGGTGTCAAAACAGGGTTGGTATGATTAGATAGGCAGAGAAATGTACACAATTGGAATTATTTTATATGGGGTGTCTCTTGCTAAGAATCAAACTTACTCAATGTTAATGTAAAATTTAAAAATAAGCTAAATGTTTATTGGCTGTATGGATTCATAACATGTTAGTAAAGGGCTACAATGGGTACTTCCTAAAAGTCAGTATAGTCCGAGTTTTTGCATCCACTGTACCTTACTGTGTGTGAACTTAGATGCAGTTGCTTTTGTGATACTATCACATCTAACTTTTCTTTTTAAATATTTTAGGTTTTACTGCGATCACAACAACTAACCCCATTTGGCTAGTAAAGACACGATTACAGCTTGATGCAAGGTATAGTGACAATGGGAAATCCCACAGCCGTGATACTATTTAAATGCTTAGAGGTTGTGAATCTGTTCTGCATCCCAAAATGGAATGTTTCTTTAAATATCCAACATTTCGAATTAGAAAGTTGATGCCGATCTATCTACAAGTTACACTATCGTTTTTCTCTACTTTCATCTCTATTGTGAGGCATGCTTGAGGCACTATAGTAGACTGGCCAGCTAACTTATAATGAATTACAAGGCTAACAGTCTCATTAAAGTAACCATATGTTTACACTTTCCTGCAGTGATACATTCTCCTTGGTGTAGCTGTTCAGCTAAACATTGCTGAAATAAGGATTTCAGTATTTTAACAAAAGATTAGAAAAATGCCTGAAACATTGTGGGTTTTTTTTACATCTAATGAACTCTAGCCTGTAAAAAGGGGAAGATGCAGGAATTGTCCTAATGCAGGATAGTTAATAGAAGTTGTTTGGACTTATTACAGAACCAATTACAGAAACTGTTCATTATTACAAAACTTGTAATGAAGTGTAACTTTATGCAAACAAGGTGGTGGAAGACCAACCTTTGTATTCCCATCTTTATAAAACTGTAGGGAGAGACTGATATGATGCAAGTATCTCAATGCAACGGTCTTGTTAATTTTGTAGACTTTCTTACTGAAAACTTAGTTCGCAATATAAAATTATTTCTTCAGCCATCCTAAATACATTAATGAGCCACATATTCCTATTGGAGATCTGTTGGACTTTCTGTATTAAGTGCAGATTAGTATTTTTCCTCATGGCAGGCATGTTGTCAGCTGCAAGGTGACCATAGTAAATATAACCCAGAACTAGTTTTACTGTGAGATTTTTTTTCTGATGCCATTGTATGATTGGGGTGATAATTTCGTGATTAATTCAAAGGGCTTTTTGCTGCTATGTGCAGCCTGATGGCATCTTGTGCATGTGCTTGGTTTTTTACTGATTAATCACTTAACTTACTTCAACTGTAGGGCTTTAAGGAAATTAGGGAAAACTGTGGATTTCTTGTGCCCATTATTTCTGTACATTGTATTAAGCACATTGTTGCTATGGGAGACCTGAAGAAGGATATTCTAACTATGTAGGACACTGCAGTTACATGAGCTAGTCTAGCACATATTTCATTCTCAGCTCTTCAAATTCAGTTGTTATTGGAGGCATAAGACCACTTGGCCTGTGGGATTATCCTGGCCTGATCTTGTTTCTGTTCAAGTTCTTGAAAAACCCTCTGATCCCCATAAGAGCTGGAGAAGGCATGTGTTTTGTTTCCAAAGTGAAATTGCTTTGGCCTTCAAGATAATGTTGTGCATCAGAAGAACAGACTTTTACAGCAGTCTGTGTCAGTGCACCTGCACAGGTATACCAGGGACATATTGGGAACTGATGTGCCCCTGGAGCTGCAGCTATAGGTCCAGCTACTCTTCTCACCAGTTGTTCTTTGACTCTTTTCTCTTGCCTGTCAGCAAATCAGTGCTGGCCCCCCAGTTATTTGCACTATCTGCGATCTAGCTTACTCAAGATCTGATTCGCAGCGATTTGTGCCCACTCTTTGTCTTAATTGTGCTTGGTACCTTGTCTCAGTGCTGTCTGACATTGCACGTTCAAACCATCGGCACTTAAATTTTGCCATCGAGTGCCTCATACTGCCGCTGTCTGTCTGACATTATTCGTGAGTTACTGTAACTTCTTACAAGGTCATTTGCTGGTTTATTCTGCGATTAGCTCACTCAGGAGACCTGCTGGCAGAATCCATATGCTTCAAGTGCCTGCACTTGCTGCTGCAATGAAGCATATTTTATGCAATGCTGTAATGGTTTTGCATAGCTGTGTACAGTATGCTAAGTATATACAAGTATATGCTACTCAATTCAGTAAGCAAGCTAAAAATGGGAATAAGACTATTTAACAAATATTACTTGATACAATTATGTCTAATGAGCATTTTCCTTGACATCGGCAGTGGCTTAGTTGAATCAAATAATAGCTACCTGTGTTATATTTGTCGGTATGCTCCCTTTGGATATTCTAGTTGTTTGCTGATAGCTGTGATGCTGTGAGGCCTGCTGTTTGAACCCTTAGCCACTGTAATTACCATGCTATGAAGCTGTTTATCTGAAGCAAAATTGAGGGGAAATCCACTTATGCAGAAGAAAATGGTAATTTTTCATGAGTCATTGACATTTACAGTTCATTGGGGGTTCTGTTTTCAAGTAATTTAGTCCTTTGTTCCGCAGGCCTTGGGGAGGCCTAGAGCTGTTCAGTTTGTCTACATGATGCTTTTTCTTTAGTCACCATATGAAGTTTGGCTTGAGTTCAGTGTAATGCTTTGCCTGTGTTTAGTGCTTGAAGGCCTTTGAGACTTTCATTTCAGGTTCTGTTTGTTCTTAAATGTATCTGAATTGGAGCCCCTCAGCATCAGTGTGAGAAGTTTCCTGAGTCCTCTTGTCACTCAAGCAAAACTGTTTAATTATTTTCCAGTCTCAAGTTGCACCAGCTTGATGTCTGTCCTGTTCTTTACTTTTTAGAAATCGTGGAGAAAAGCGAATGAGTGCTTTTGAATGTGTCCGAAAAGTGTATCGATCAGATGGTATTAAAGGCTTCTACAGAGGAATGTCAGCATCCTACGCAGGCATATCTGAGACTGTTATTCATTTTGTTATTTATGAGAGTATTAAGAGAAAACTACTGGAGTATAAGACTGCTTCTGCCATGGACAATGAGGATGAATCAGCAAAAGAAGCTTCGGACTTCGTTGGAATGATGATGGCTGCTGCCACTTCCAAAACTTGTGCAACATCAATAGCATATCCCCATGGTAAGTGGGGCATGTACAGCTGAGAGCCTGAATCAGATTGATCGAAGGGAGTCTTTTCAGTGATATTTCAGCAGACTTCTGGCTCACTTGCTAAAGAACTCTTTCTAAAGTTTTTCATGTCTGATACCACATGATCATAGTATTTAGAAATGGAAGTGGTTTTAACTGGATATCTAGCATGGCCTCTTGTTACGCAATGCTTATTTTTCCAAGGGGTTTGCCAGAGTATGACCCAAAATACTTGAAGGTCCTTATTCTCTTGCAATGTCTCTACATACTCAGCAATTTCACATAATTTGCCAGCAAGTCTTGTCCCCTATTTAGGAAAATAGGCTGTCTAGTTTGGTTTTCAGTTGCACTTAATTTTCCTGCAAAGTAGTTGTGTAAACATTGTTTTTGAATGCATTGAGTGCTTTGTAGTAGCAACTTCCAAACTAAAATGTAAGCCCAAACAACAGTCCTTCTGGATTTTAACTAAGCAAATGGACTTTCCTTGCTTAGTTAAATATCTAATACTGCAAAAAAAACCCAAACTTGTTTTCCTCTTACACATACTTGATTTGCTTCTCTGTTTGTCTTCCTCCTCCTTTTCTAAAGATTTCTTCTGAGATTGAAAACCTGGGGAGGGAAGAGAGGTTGCATTTTCATGTAAAATGACTAATTGGTTTCTGGAAAAGATAATGAAAAGTGGTGAATGTAACCATATGTCGTTTTCTTTGTGCAGAGGTTGTACGAACAAGACTAAGAGAGGAGGGAACAAAATACAGATCTTTCTTCCAGACACTATCTTTGCTTGTGCGAGAAGAAGGGTATGGATCTCTCTACCGAGGTTTAACTACACATTTGATCAGACAGATTCCAAACACAGCTATCATGATGTCAACCTATGAAGTGGTAGTCTACTTGCTCGATGGATAGCAATGTGGCAAGGCTTCCTAGAAGAAGGTGGAAGATTGAAAGACTGGAGTGGACCACTGAATGTCAATGCCAACGTGGTGGGAGAAAGGAAAGCTATAACAGGAACATGCAGCTGTGGACAAAACAGAAGGTTGATTGTGGGCAACTATGAATCATTTTGCTGCCTTATTGTGTGGTCTCTTGGCAGTGTGACAAATGGGAACTGCCCCTTAGAGAATGTCTTTATATCTCTAAATTCAAAATTGTTATTCTTTTCATCTGTTAATCTAGACAAGGCCATGTAGTCATCTTCAGAGACCTGATGGGTGAGGGAGGGGACGTGAAATATATTCTTGGACAGCCTTATTCATGTCTTAGTGATTGCTCTGAAGTACCTCCTTTTTGTTCTGTTTTACTGCACAGTAACCTGTTGGAAGAATGGGGAAGAGAGTACTTTGGTACCTCTCCATACCTGAAACTTCCATTCAGTTGCTGTACATATTCATGAAGAGACTGAGGTAGTAGTCAGCTTGTAAAGTTTTTCACATTGCTACCTCAAGACAGAATACAGCACAGGGACCCAGAACAGAGTTATTTCTTCGCTACAAAAGGTGATGCTTTGTTTTGTTTTGGGGTTTTCTTTGAAGTTTGAGCAGTGTTATAGGTTAGTGAGGGAGGATAAGATGATTGAACTCTTCAGATTATCAGTCTGTTAATATAAGTGGATTTCTAGTTCTGCCACATCATCCTTTTTCTTTCATGGAACTTTCCTTCCTTAAGTAAGAGACCCCTATGAAGTGTTCTCCTGTATCATCAGTTTTCCTTGCCAACCTGTCAGGTCACTCACACAGCTAAGGAAGAACTTGCTGAATGCTACTTCATAGCCTTTTTAAGGATTCTTAATGTGATGGGAATTCTCAGTTCTCAACTAGTCCAGCCTACCATTTATGAAGACAGGATTCACTCAGTTTCATGCTACCTAAGAACAACCTGTATTACCCTAAAATACCTGGCAAATCCTGACTTGGGTTACCAGTATCTATATGGGAGTACAGGGGGAGAACACATCACCATGGCTAAGGCAACCAGAAAGGAGAAAACAGTGGAAGTTGTGATAGATATTCTTAGTGCAGACAGTCTCTGTTCAGAATGATAGAGGAAATTGTAATTGAGGTTTTTTATAAGTGTTCCCCTTGATAATTGATCTATCACTTCTTCAGCTTGAGCCTGTGTACTGAACTGCAGCTGACAGTATAACATTGTCCTCCAAATTGTCTTGAATATTCAGGCATTGTTTTTGTTCTATAAGCCAATTGCAAAACAATATGCTGCATTCAGCAGTGAGGCTTAGCTAGTTTATTCTGTCATAATTTACAGGGTTTTCTAAAACCATACAGCTGGAGTGTCAAAATCAGAAGCTTAATGTTACAAGAACCTGTAGTTTTCCAATCAGGTGTCTTTTATCTGCACCTTGAGTACTTCTCAGTCTGCACCTTGAGTACTTCTCAGTCTGCACCTTGAGTACTTCTCAGTCTGCACCTTGAGTACTTCTCAGTCTGCACCTTGAGTACTTCTCAGTCTGCACCTTGAGTACTTCTCAGTCTGCATCCATGATCCTTATGAAGATGATCACTATAAATTGAGGGCAATAGCTTTCTACATACAGATGCTGCTACACTGATGTGGACAGAACTGTGCTATCAACTCTTCCAGTGTGGTACTTAGTACATTTAAACTGTGCATTGTGTGCAATGGCTTTATTTTATGAATGACTCCTTATGCACTTTGTGGCCGCCTTATGGCTTATGACTTTTCTTCCTCTTACTGGTTATCTGTAGTCAAACTGTGTTCAAAATATGCGGTTTGGTTTTAAAGCATGTGGTTTGATTTCTGTGTAAGCTGTGCAGGATAGAACACTTCATGCTGTAGATCCATAGCATCTCTGTTGCAGTAGTTCTGTAGGCTGTATGTAAAAGCTTGAAGCTTACAGAACAATCAGTCTGGGTTTTTCTCATGTGCTTTCCTTTATTTTGGCCCTTGTTGTGTTCTCCACACAGTGTCAAAGTATTTGAGTATTTCATGTAATTCTCTGTACTAGTTGCTCATCCTTCTAAAAACTACCTATAGTTTGTACAGCAGCCTTGCAGTGGAGGCTTAGCTGTGTTGACCTCTGTCTCCTTACATTTTTAAAGACAGTGTAGTCTGTGATGTGACCAAAGGTGAACTTGATTGTTTTAAAGAAGTGAGGGGAGTGCTTAAATGTGTGTTCTAAAATGGGCTTTTTGTAGTGATCTCTCTAGGAAAAGTCTGGAGTATTCATGACTCAGACCTAAGTCTTGCTGTGATGCCATTGTTCAGATAACTAAGTGCAGGAATAACTACTTACTGTCATTTTTGTTCTGTAGAAAGTGGATTACTCTTCAGGCTATCCAGATTATTCAGTGATAGCCAAAATTTAAATTGGCAGAGACAATGTTCAGCTTTGGAGTTCATGAATACAATTAACACATGGATTAGCCTAGGCTTCCTGAGAGTTACTCTCCTCTGTTTATTGGGTAAGTTCTCTCTTGGTTACATGTTCATCTCCCATTATTTCACTGGGTACCATGTGTGTGCCTTGTCTGGGTGAGAACAGACCCCTTGGACTTGATAAATAGGAAATCTTAACGACTGAATATGGGACACAACAGCTAAAAATAGACAATCATCTTATTCCACTTTTTTAATGGGTGTTTAAGCAACGTTTTAAACTTCAGGGGTGATCTTTTTGGCTTGTTTTACATTACAGAATGTAACCCCAAAGTTTCTTGGGATTTTTTTGTTCTTTTTAAACTACCAGTGCATACAAAGTTACCTCTGAAATATTTTCCAAAGATCACTAAATTATTTACGTAGTTTTCTTTATATTTATTATAAAAACTGAAAGGGAATAAGAAGATGCCACATTTGATAATCTCAGACTACAGAACTGAAAGGAGTGCATTTTAAAACTTTCTTGTAACTTGGTCATCTCGATTTATATCTGAATGTAGTGTATTTGTCACACTTTTCTGTGCTAAAGGCAAAGGTCTTGGATGTCTGAAACTCAGTATCGATAATGAATTAATTTCCTCATATTTGCCTTGCCTAGACGAAACAAATGTTACTGCAAGCTGTTAATTTTCACTCGGCAACCAGCTAGATTTGGGAAACACTGAGACTGCAGTTTCCTGAACCAGTCAGAAGATGGCACTGGAGCATGCATTCATTAGAGGGCAAAGGGGCTCCTCTGCCAGGGCCTGGTTAGCTCGGTGTGTTGGAGTGCACTGCTTGTCATTGAGTGTCTGTGGTGTATTGGGGGAACACGGCAAGGTGGCCCGCGTTTGAAAAGCCATAAAAATACAGATTTCAGTGAATGCAGTCACACTTCTCAGCCCCTCTATTATCCATTCAGTCCCCGTAGAGCTGTGTGAAAACAGGTGAGTTGTGGTATGTTGCAGAGGGGTGAGACAGCCTTTAAACTGACTGATAGATCTGTTGTTTCTTTCTGAATTTCTGATCTGCTAGCCTATGTTGTTCTAAGTAGCTTTACACTAGGGATTTATGGAGTTTTTGGTTATTTTAATGGTAACTGAAACATCAACCTGTCCACTTGTATATTGACATTGCACCTGTCTAGTTGCCTGTTTACATAATGCACTGCACTCCATATATTTCCTTTCTGATTGAGGTGTGTGTTAATGACAGTTTCTGCTATTCTGTTTGTGTTCTTAGAATATTTGTAACATTCCTCAGACTGTAGCATTTTAAAAGAATGCTTGCAGAGACAAAAGATTGGCAAGCCTTTATAAACGTTGCTTCCTGTTTAAACTGTTTAAATTTGGGAAACAAGCTGAACACTGAAGTGTGCCTAGGTAAATGTACTTTTTTCAACTTTCTGTCTTCTAAGACTTGTTTATGTAAGTTTTCAGTTCTCCTATTTAAGAGAGTCTGCCTACCCTGCATATGTGAATATAATTATGCCCTCAGTCATAGCTAAACACTCACAAATGACAGTTTGAGAGTACTTCAATGCTCATGTGAGGTTTGCTATTATTCTTGCATACATGTAGATGGCTGTAAACTGTGCATTTACTCTGTATTTATATAGTTAACTTTTTTGTTTGGATTGCTTTAAACTTCAAAGCAAATTAAAATTATGTGGTTCTATTCAAATGTTGCCTTCTGTGCTAAACTGTACGCTGTTTTTAACATTTTAATTTTTCTACTATTGATATATATACTAGTGCCTGGACAGATGTGATTAAAAATGAGCAATTCCTTAGGAGAGCCCAGTGAATCATTTTATCTTGTGCCATTTTATAGTAGCTGAAAATAATGTTATCTGTACTGTACCTATGATATGTTATTTTTGGAGGAGTTCATGGATGACTTAAACTAGTTAGATATGATCTTGCAGCTGGATTTGAATACTGTTACTACGCAGAACTTGTGTTACTGTCTGTCAACTGAGACTCAGTAACTAGTGATCAGAAAACTTGTGTCCATTTAAAGTGTCAGTACAAACCACTGCTGACAAAAACGAAGGGCAGTAATGCCTTAAAATGTTCAGACTTAATTGCATGTGCAGTTGTAAGTAAGTCCTTGAATCTGAAGCATAATTAGATATTGTTTCTCTTGATAGTAGGCGTTTGATCTGAAGTCTATCCTCAGAACTTCCTCAGAAGTTGTTCTGCAAAGATATATGTAGGTTTTGTTTGGTGATTGTGTGCTGCGTGTTTTCCCCTCAGTGTGTGTTCTGGAACTGAATCCTTTGTAGCTTTTAACAGGGAGCCAGGCTTGATGTCTCTGATTTGACACTTTCAGCTATTTAGAACTATTTCAAAACTTCTATTAAACCTGCACATCTGTGATTAACTTTTTTCTTTTATTTCAGTAGGTATTCATGTGAATTGACCTACCTTGCTCTGCTTCTGAGATTTTCTAGCTTCCAGGTCAGCCAGGCTTAGAGGTGATCAGTCTCTGGAATCAGTACAGGCAACCAGCATGCTTATCCCTGCCATATCTGAAATTATGCCCTCTAACTGGCATAATTCTGTTTGATTGATCCTTCACTTTAACTCTCTGAAAGAGGCACATTGGCAGGTCAGAGCTCAGGTGAAGTGTTTGGGGATGGTTTGACATTTATGCATTATGACAGGTATGACTCCTTCTGCTGAAGGAGTTGTATTAAGCTTGCCCTGGACAGAAAGCATGTATATAAAATGAAGGTATATTTGAAGTCCTAACTGAGTTATGGCTTGGCATTAATGCAGTAGTGTACTCTGGCATAGATGCAACCTAAAAGCATGTAAGGTTTTGCCATGACCTTTTTCACAAAAGAAAGCCCTTGAATTTGATAATGCACTTAACACGAAAATAAGAAGGTACTTCCAAAGACAAATAACGCCTCATCTTCTGTGTGCTGTTGCCAACCACTGTGGTTTGTGCTGACTTGGAACATCATTATCTTCTTGCACAGCTTCTGTCAAAGGCAGGAAACGCCAGGGCAGGAATCTAGTTCTCATGAGCAAACTGATGCAAATGAAATGGTGTATTGAACTGTGGAAGATAATACTGGAGAGGAGGAGC